ACCTATTTCGAAAATCGTTGTTGTATAGAGCAAGCAGTTGATAGCTTAGCCCGATGCTACTCCAATGATTATACACCTATTTCGAAAATCGTTGTCGCACCAAGAGCCTCAAGTAACAAGCCAAGACTCCAGAGAACGTCGGTACTTTTAGTTATAATTGATTTATTCTTGGTTCATGCAAGTGGCTATAGCTCTCCACTAATTATCATCTCAAGCAGCCTTGCTTGGAGCAATTTGTGAAGTCAATAAATGAAAATGCACCATGAATAAACTAATTACAGCTAAAAGTACCGACGTTCTCTGGAGTCTTGGCTTGTTGCTTGAGGCTTTTGGTGCGACGATTTTCGAAATAGGTGTATAATCATTGGAGTAGCATCGGGCTAAGCTATCAACTGCTTGCTCTATACATATTAATGATGTGCGAATCAGCAGTTCTCTAATGATTTAAAAATAAAATACAGTGAYACCCTTTTCAAGAATTCGACATTACCTCCAGGTTTAGAGTGCGTCAATACTCTTATCTTGTCGACCCCGTGCGAACTTTCCTGGCCGTCTTTGAACTGTACACAATAAACTTCCACATTATTCTTTGTTTCTTTTTTGATTATCTTTGCAGTAGAGTAGTAGTAAGTGACTTTAGGATTGGGCGCGATTACTTTGGTACCAAGTTTGAGGTTGTCTTTACCAGGGTTCTTATCAAGTACAACTGCTATAAGATTATTCAAGTCGTGGGATGTCTCGTCGCCATCGTCAAACATCAGGTGAATACGGCTGTCTATCTTAGAGACATATCCAGAGTAGTAATGGTTGTTTTTAGGCCAAAGACCGTAGATACGAGCACCAGGGATGATTTGGTCTTGTGGAACTATAAATCATAAAAGCAAATTATAAAAGGATTCTTTCAGAAGGCAATGCAAGGCATAAGGTGACTGCCTACTTTTGGAAAAAAAGATTAAACTTTTTTTAAAACTTCGATTTTCCGAATTGAAATTTAATGCTGATTCCAAATCTGGAAAGAAAAATTGGGTGTCCCGAGCTTGTTTTCAAGATAATCAGCATTTGATGGAAGCCTACGCGCCAGCTTTTGGAGCAAAACTTGCGCCACCGGAAGTGATTAGAAAAAAATTAAGATTCATAAGATAATAGTTATTTGCAGACTTTATGATTGCACGAATGAAGGCAAGTCAATCATTGTACAATAATACGTGGATATTTTCGACAAAAAGACAAAGAGATAAATTAATTTGTCATATTTTATAGTTCCGAATCTCTTAAAAAATCTCATAAAGTCGAACAAAATTCCCTACAAAAATCTATTTTTTTATGTGTTAGAATAATTAACTTTTTCTAAGATGTTGATATAACCTAGATTTTTAGGAGTTTATTTAAATAATCTATTAAAAAAATAGAGAGTCCCGTGTAAAATTTGAGGGTTTTGCCCTGTTGAAGCTCAAAACGCGTATGGTTCTTCAATAAAATCTTGTAGATTTTCAGCGGTTTTTGAGCGCGCGCACATCGTGGGCTTAAAAATGAATTTTCATACCAGAAAAAAAAAAAGTCTTTTTCACAATTTGCAAGGCTGAACAGACATTTTCATATGAGAAAAAAAAATTCACTACATCTTTTTTAAAAAGATGCATATAGTTTTGAAATGTAAAAAGGAGGTTGGGAAAAGTCCCAAATGTTTAGAGATTGTAACAAAAAAAAGCACATAGAATATTTGTTATTTCCATCCAGCTTCCTTAGCACAGTATTTTTTGTATCTTTCAGCAATAAATGAAACAAAATCCGTTTCATCAAACGTCTACCTGAGAATCTTAACTCCTCGATAAAATTAGCCTGCGTCAAATCCGGCGAAAATTCCGGATGTGACGCAGGCTACCATAAAATGAAGTCAGTTATTGAGGGAAAACGTCCCCACAGCAGTCTCACCTGGTGTCAAGTACCATCTGTTTTCCTTATCGATAGCCTTCTCACTCCATAAAGTATCATCAGTGTTTTGCTTTATCTTATTGCCGTCCTCACTAGCTGGTGCAAGTGACATCAGGCATGCAGTAATGGTCTTAATGGTTGGTGCAGACACATGGATGTGAGCAACACTCGTTCTTATGTCAATATGCATACTTTCACCCTCTGGAGCTGAGATGTGCAGTGCTAACTGCGACAAGTAAAACACCTAACAAAAGAAAAAAGAAAACAATGAAATGTCTTGGTCAAATACCGTAGATAATGTTTGAATCGTGATTACTTAGGAAGGCTAGCGGCGCCGGAAGATGTTTTTGCTTTACTTAATGTAGCCCTATGGATCTATATACGAGGAAGAAATCCAAAAGTATTGGCATCGCAATCCATTGACAAGGGACAAAGGTTTTCGGAAACAAAGGTGATAGGCAACAGGAGATAGCCTATTCCAGATGAAAGAGTGTTTATAGTGTCGACGAAACCATTCAAAATACCTCGATTATTCGTTTTTAGAAGCCCATAATTCCCTTCAAGTTTTGAATGATAAATGAAGGCCTATTGCTACGACAACCCTTTTTGTAATAGGTGTTAACAAAAGGGAAAGAAAAAACGGAAGAAGGAAGGAAGGAAGGAAGGAGAAAGGAAAGAAAAGAAAAACTAGGATTCATACTTGCGTCTTGGTGGCTGCTCGGTGTTCTGGATCAAATGCAGCAGATGTGATACTCAGATTAGACAAATGACCAAACATTTTCTGCTGTCCTTGGGTAACCATCATGTTGAAATCCAGAGCATTCTAGTAAGAAGGAAAAAAAAAAATTTATCGCCGCATGACATTATCGTAAGCGTACATATCCTCAAGAGTTGCCAAGCAAGAGGAAAATGGCAATAGATTGCGTAAATAGCTGTTATTATAGTTGAGCCCGCAATGAGAAATTCTTTTGTTTTAAGAATCATACAAGTGAGGCTATCGGGTCGATACAATGCTTGTTGTCTCATTTACATCTCATTTACATGCATCCATAATAACTGCTATTGGGAATTAGCAGTTATCGGAGTTACACTCTGTTGCCTTCAAACAATTCTTTTAAGTCGAGGCATTTGGGTCAATACAACAAAATGTATAGAAACGGACCCACATGCAATAATTGTCTGAAGGCAATAGAGTGTAACTCCGATATCTGCTATTGACTGCCTATCAAAAAGAGGAATGGAACAGTGTAACCTTTTTTTCGTGACAAGTTATTTTGCTACCAAAAATGAGGAAAAAGGCATTCCTGTCCTACAACACGGCGCTCAAGTAATGTTATTTCCTAAAGGAAGCATGTCAATGCTTCCCTTAAACATGGCTGCCCTGAATCCCCTTCCATTGGTAAAGCCATCTCACCTTTAAAAACAGTGCATTAGTAGCTTTATCCTTAGCATCAGCCAACAGAACGATTTCCGGTTGTCTCAGAGAAAACTGTAGTCTTAGTTCCGGTGATTCCTGGTCTGCTGGTATGCCAGCAGCTGTAACCAAAGCAGCTGCCTGTGTAGGGTCTACGTGGACAACTGGAGGTATTGCGGAGGGAGCTGCTGCTAAGGCGGATGTGAACACATTTGACAAGACTAGCAGAAACTCTAGGTTTGCAACGATGTGGACATGGTTTACCTCGATGTTGACTGGAAGGTAAATAAATAAATGAATATCATACATCTATTTTATAAAAGGCTGTCGTAATGAAAACTGAATGCAGCAGCGTGAATTGACCACTTGCCATCGTGAATAGACCCCTCGTCTGAATGCAGCTTAATTTGGAGAACATAACTTAGGAATTGAAATTATTTTGTTTTCTACTTTAAATTGAGCTGCTTTGACGTCACATGCAAGGGGTCTATAGTGCAAAAAAGCAAAAAGTTTTCGGTTTGCAAAATAACGTACGACATTAGCCATGTGCCAGAATTGGTAGCATTTTCGCGCAAAATTCGAAACTTTTACAAATTAATGCAAGGAATACAAGTCGATTCSGTGGCAAATAAACATAATCAGTTTCCTCGGAAACAAAGAGCAGTCGACTTGTGGAAACAAAGTATACAAAACGTATAAAAATATGACATATAATCCCTATCGGCGGCACTAGACTTTACCATGTAAACTAAGACACTTACTGTTCTTGTCTTGGTTGGGTGATTGCTCGAACTTAACATCGACCATATTTGGAATATCACGTGCATCGCCAGCATAACGATCCATCATCCTTGAAAAACACAGCAATCACAGATTAGACGGAGTATAATAAAGACAATCACTCGCCTTTAGGGGCTACTCCATGAGGTTCGCGCTCCAAGCACTAACACTACATTTGATATTTACCACACACAACCCTCAATTCGCACGTTGAGGAAGTGGGAACTGGAGTAACTGATCAGACTAGAGTTTCCAAAGATCTCAGCATCACGAAGCACGTTCGTGATAAGGTGTTTTTTTTATTATTATTGTTTGTACCTTGTTACGCCTTCTACACTTTCAGGTCTTTTGTCGTCAAGAATACACGTCTCAAGGCTTACATCAGCGTTCAGGGCATTGCTGGACTTGACCCTCCCGCTTGTCTTAACAGACACAAGTGAGAACTGACCCAAACAGCAGGCAGGGTCTCTTGTGCCTTCTAACGCCTGTTAAAAGAAGAAGGAAAAAAAATCATGTTTTCAGTACTGACAACAATTGTAACTGACTTGTGCTTTCATTTAATCAAACGAAGTAGGAAGGTATGACAGACAGACAGACAGAAAGACAGACAGACAGACAGACAGACAGAAAGACAGACTGACAGACAGACAGAAAGACGGACAGACAGACTTACAGACAGACAGACAGACAGACAGAAAGACAGACAGACAGACTTACAGACAGACATACAGACAGAGAAATGGAGACTTGCCTTTTCGCTTGTCTTCCAGTAAACTGAAGCCGATACTTTTTCAATTTCGAAGGAAAATTTCACAGTATCCCAGGAGCCATCTTTGGACGGTTTTTCTTCTTGTGTCTTTTCAAGTGGTGCCTCTGCAAAAATAAAATATTATTTATTCACTGCGTACAAGTTTAAAATTTGTTTCAGATAGAATAATAAACAAAAGCTAAATAACTATATACTTGCATTGATGCGAATATGAAGTAAAATAGAGCAGAGCAGAGCAGAGCAGAGCAGAGCAGAGCAGAGCAGAGCAGAGCAGAGCAGAGCAGAGCAGAGCAGAGCAGAGCAGAGCAGCATTTTAGATATAACTAGAGCAGCATTTTAGAAATAACTAGAAGTGGTACAGAAACTATTGACAACGGCTTATCGTCACATGGTATCTACCGTATCTATCAGCCGAATAATCCTTACCTGTGAATCGCAGTTCATCCAGACTCCATTTTGCTCGCTTCACCGTAAGAAGAAACAGAAACACTTGGTTGTACTTCTTGAGACAATTTTCGTCGATCACCAGACTAACAGGCCACGGAACCTATGCAACAGATAGTTTATGTATAAGTAAATTGTCCAATGAGAGCCCAGCCAATGTACCACTCCTGTCCTACTACCATCATTGGCATCATAATACATTCTCATCATCATCATTATTGCTATCATCATCACCATCATCATCATTATCGCCATCATCATCACCATCATTATCGATATCATCCTCACCATTATCATCATCATTATCGCTACCATCGCCATCATCATCATTATCGCCATCATCATCATCATCATCATCATTATCGCTATCATCCTCACCATTATCATNAGAGCAGAGCAGAGCAGAGCAGAGCAGTGTTGATAGTGCTGATAGTTTCGTTCGATAGTGTCAGCCTTCATATTTTGAACATTGTTACTTGTCATCTTTCATGATTTTACGAGTTCATTTTCCTTACCTCCCTCCAGGGCAAGAGCCTCTTCTGAGACAATTTGTACGTCGGGTGACTCTGTGGGAAACGCAAGTGTTAATTTTTTTATTATTTTTGCACGCAGAGGGAGTAAAACTGAAGAACCAAGGAACAACTTTTGAATGACAGGGTATAGACTACTTCTACGATACGACGGCCATCTTGCCAGATGACAAAACAAAACCAAGATGACGGAAAATATATCGAGTTTCGTGTGTTTGTCTTTCTCTTGTGGTTAAAAGTGCCGTCTTAATTCATCTTTTGTTGTATTTTCTAGTGGTGAGCTGTTAATATCATTTGAAGTCATTACTGTAACAAAGCTTCAATCGTCCCCCGGACTCCCCATAACGCCTTGTGATCCAAAATGGCTGCCGTATCGTCGAAGTTATCCATTCTATACATTTATAATGGCGGGTACAGTGAACCCTCAAAACCTGCAACGACCAAAGTTGCGAATCTTAATGATTCAAGTCAGTTCTTTTAAGTTAGCTACTTGTTTTTAAGCTTCCACTCACTGAAGGGATTTCTCTCAACGTTAAAATAGCCATAGCCCAAGGACTAAGAGATGATGGAAAGAGGTTAAAGAAATTCAAAATTCAATGAGACGATTCAGTATCACTACTTTACTGTGCATCTTGATACCTGTTAATTCTTGCTGGCCTTCAGCGAGGTTCTGGAATACTACTGATAGTATGGTAGAAATGTCTTGTTCATCGGTGCACAACTGAAATGGTAATTAATCTTTTAACACAGCGTGGAAAAAATATATATAGGAAATTTAAGAACGGATGGATTTATATGCATGGACGGACAGGCGTCTATAATCAACAAACCAACTTGCCTGGACAGCCTTGAGCTTGCCTTGTACATCAATGTCTGGTATGTCATGACACCAGGGAGACAGATTTCGTGCCAGGAAGATTGCCATACTGATTGGTTCTACTATAACAGAACTGGCTTCAGGCGTCTCACTATCCTTCATTTTACCCCTTGAATATAAATAGCATTGAAAACCTTTATTAGAATAATATCTGCAATATCTTTGAGTTTAGTCGGTCCTCGGCTTCAAATGTTATTGATACCATGAAAGAACCTCTGAGCTGATCAAAGTCAGGGTACGTCTAACTCACATATCAAACGCTGAAACGGCTTCTGGACTTAAACATGTGAATTGTGTTTCATCAAGCAAATTGTCCTCGAAAAAAAATTTCTGGGCTGATCAGAGTCAGGGCACTGCTAACCCACAGTCCTAACCCTGGAACAACCTCTGGGCTGATCAAATTTAGGGCACTGTTATCTTACAGATCGAACCCTGAAACGACGTCAGGGCTGATCTAAGTCAACTCACAAATTTGCGAAGTGAGGAAAACCTGAGACCCTGGACAAAAACCCTAGAATCAAGGGAAATATCTAACATTCGCATGCGAAGCTAAGTCCAGGAACCGAACCCAAGACCCCGCTCCAGTAACATAGAGGATACAGCATTAAATAGTGGTGGTAGCGTGTCTAAGTCAAAATAGGCCAAAGCAGAAACAAGTATTTGTACAGCATTTGATCACCCACAAGGAAAAGAAAAACGGTCCGCTATCTTAGAACCTTTTCTTTTAGTGACACTATTCCATAATTTGCAAAGAGAAARTCTAAATTTGTCATCAGTACCTTGAGAGTTTAACGGAACTAAGCTCCACCACCATATTATCCACGATCACGGCATCCGAGCCATCATCTTTGGTAGGGGGTTTGAAGAGATTGAAGGTATTGGCTACTGTAAGTTGTCCCAAGTCTGCTATCAAAGCATCATGGGAAGTAGAACTGACAGGAATGATAATGAGAGGAGCCTGGATTGACACGGCCAGTCTGATTCGGGAAGTCTGGGTTTGCATATCTTGAATCTGTAAAAAGTATTGGAAAGAAATTAACTAAGGGGTTAAAATAAAATCAGTTGTATCAAGAATATTCAATATTACCAACCCTGGCACTTGCTGACTCTGCTGCAGTCTTCGTTGCGTACTGCATTGCTTCTTTGGCCTTTTGGAAGTTATTTGAGAACGCCTGAAAGATAAAAAAGAGAAGTGAAATAAATATTAAACCTTATTAAACATAATACCTCTATCTAAAGAGGGTTAACGCGACTGTAGACGCTATGCGAGGCCTCACAACTCTGGTATTAAACGTGCCTAAATGAGACATAACCACAATGTGACGTGGTAATTTGAGCAACGTGTTGAAGGTCTGCACTTAGGTGTGCCATGATTTAGACCATTCCAGAAGTTTTCTTAGGTTCGAAAATCTTTTTTAGGATTTTCTCCAATCATTTGCATATATTTTATTTCGTATCAGGCACAGCGAAAGTCTGTATTTATATGTGCTCTGGCTTAAGTTCGATCATCCCAGAGGTTGTTCAGGGCTTTTTCTTTTGTCCATTTACAGATGTTCTAAGACCGCCGAGTCTTGTTGCGTCCACTGTTTTTAAAGAAAACACTGAATGGGATATTAGCATATTTGATATTACAGTGGAAAACCATGGCAGTCCCTAAGATCATGCTAGGGAACGTTGTGAAACTAACASAGGGCAAGACAACTGCTCATCCAATCGGATTGCTTAGTCACGAACATTCACAGCACGGAACGGGCATAATAAATCATTTAGAGGACCAAATTTAGCCAACTGTCACATGCTGGATGGAAAACTATAAAACAACCTTGCGCACAATCCAGCTGAGTTGACCGCGTTCACCGAAAGGAATTATGGGCCAGCAGTTTTAGGTTTTCGAGCAGGGACTCAACACAATGAAGATTTTTTTGTGTGGATGAAAATGAAATTCCACCATGCACAGGCRGCCCAAACAAGGTTCCTGTGTATGGTTTATAAGGGAATGTATGGGAGTTATGATTAAGGTCATGAAAATAAAATGTTTCACTCAACAATTTGCCTCAAAACTTGCTGCAGTTGTTGCTTTTACTTTGTTCAGCCTCCTGGCGACGTTTCAGCGCGATTTGAGGCCGTTTAATGGTTTTTTTCAAAATCAGCTCTTCTCTACCCATTATTTAGGTAGAGAAGAGCGGATTTTGAAAAAACCTACTAAACGGCCTCAAATCGCGCTGAAACGTTGCCAGAAGACTGAACAAAGTAAAAGCAACGACTGCAACAAGTTTTGAAGCAAATCGTTGAGTGAAACATTTTATTTTCGTAACTTTATCATAACTCCCATACATTCCCTTATAAACCATACACAGGAACCTTGTTTGGGCTGCCTGTGCACCATGATTTTGTCTAGTAGCGTTTACGATCAAGTTAAAGGATGAAAAAATCATATTTTATGGGTTCTCTTGGTAGAAATGCTAATCAAACTGCGATGTCGACTTCTCAACTCTGATTGTTTGACCTTGAGTTCGTTTTGAAGGTCAACTCAGCTGGTACCTCAAGCCCTTTCCTATTCAAAATTATAGTTAATAGAAGGGTAAAATGATCTGGTCTGGTCCTATTATCCATAATGGCACTTACCAACAACTGCATGACGAATTTGTTCAAAAAGATGACCCGAATACAACCAATGTCCATCTTGAAACTCGTATCAACTACCTCCATGTTAGTGTAGTTACCATTAGACATGGCATCATTATAGGCAACCACCTAGAATAGTTACAAAAGTCACAGAATCAACAGTTGGAACAGGAGTCCGAAAAGGTTGCCAGATATTCCAATCGAATTTAAACGCATGGATTTTAGATTCATTTGGGTGATAGGGTTTATCTTAATGTTTTCAGGTTCACCTTGAAGTATGAAGTAATCTCGACAAGAAACAAAAATAGAGGAATCTTTGAAAACGATTTGTAAAGTCATGTAATGAAGTAGTTATTGCCGTTTTTTAGTTTGGTTTGTCGGTTGGTTGGTTTGGTTGTTGTGTAAGTGAATGCGTGACATGGAGCTTTATCTAAGTAACAACTGGTGGAGCACATGAAATCCAATATTTTAAAAAAATGAATCATTTAACCATGATTAATCACTTATAATAAGATGTTAACAAAACCTTGTACATTTAAAACAGTCAGTTAACTTGCATACCTCAACGTTAAACACATCCTGATTGACAATAGAAACGATCTTTGGGTACAAGACCCCTTTGTTGGTGTCCATCACAGAGAGGTCCTTCATGCTGTGAAATTAATGAATAGGAAGGAATATCAGATGAAACTCGCATCTAACCAAGATAAGCCCTTAATAAGACAAAGGGTAATCAATAGGGTATCACAATAGTATAATATCAATAACGGTTACACTAAAAGCAAGGACATTTAAGGATTTTCACATGGGGAAAGTGCAGACCAAACAAAAATTTAAACAAACAAACAAACAAAACAAAACAAAAAACCCAGCTTCGACCAAGAAATTCAACTTACACAGCAGTGACATTGGTTCTGTCATCCAACATAGTGACATGAGCAGACACACCTGCGAAATTGAACATAACTTTTTCACACACGTAGACTATAGAGTGACATAAGTAGAATGCGAAAATGTAGAAATGTTTCATGCTATAATCAKTATTTGGAAAATGTTTAAAAAAGTAAGCTTCTTTAAAGTTAATGMTTTATCATTCAATCGATTTATCCATATTCACTGAAACTCTCACAATTGTGACAACTTTCGAGTTACATGTGATCTATGACCTGATGGAACTTATTCTTTGATGTATTTCTTCGTGAAAAGATTAGAATTTTCATTTGCCTTCAGCAATCAGCATCAACATTGCATGGGAGCAGGTAAGGGGGAGTGGGTAAGGGGGAGCTGGTAAGGGGGAGTGGGTAAGGGGGAGCTGGTAAGGGGGAGTGGGTAAG